GGTGAGGCCACACGTTTTTCTGCAATTTTAACTACAATGATCTATACATGACTATGAAATATATTAATTAAATGACAAAGAAAACAAAAACCAAATAAATATTATAAAATATATATAATTAAAGTTCCCCAGGAGTCGTGTCACTGGTGTTACTGCATAACAAAAAAATCTCTTATTTTGAAATAAAAATCACACTGATGACATCACTTGACTTCCTTTTACCTGTTTTCTGAGGATCTATGAAGAAAAGCACATGGTGAGTCCACTGTGTCTTTCAGTTATCAGAGATTTTCTCATTTAGCTCAGGATTTCATATGAAGCTTTTAGCTGAAGTCACTGGTGTGACCGACTTTATTCTGAGGTAATTGTGAAAAAATAGAATGCAAATGGATTAAATTACATATTTTAGTGGATATTTCATGACTGACAACATGTGGTTTGATGTTCTGTAGCAGACATTTTGTAAAATGCATTTTTCATTAAAAATGTCTCTGGTGTTCCCTTTATTATGTGGAACACCAATGAGGATCAGTAACACCAGTGACTCCTATGGATAGATAGAAAACTGGACGTTTCTGTAGAATGACCCAAGTGCAAAATATATTTCTTATGCAAAATAGTTCAAAACAAAACTGAACACTGTATATACACTGTATGTACATTGTGTTGTCTGGTTTACATTCGGCCTACCAGTGAAACTAATACCTTAGTAAGAAAACCAACCAGTATATCACCTACTACCATTACTTTCCCATGAAATAAATAAAAATACTGCTGCAAATGCACGTCATTAAGCAGTGTGCGTGTCAGAATTTGCTGTGTGGTATCCATATCCCCATTACCAATACCGATACTGCATTTAAGTGCCAGTATTAGTGCTGATATCAATATAATATTGGTATCAGTGCAACGTTAATTATAGTTATCGCTTATTACTTGAAAAAAAAAATGCTTAAAAAAGCAATTCTGAACAAAAACAAAATTTGTCTCATCACATAACAGATTGCTATCCAGTTTGTTTTTTTCTCTAAACCAAAAAAGGAAGAATCGTGGCAAAATAACTGATTGCCCAAATCATATTATGTATCCTGTTTGAAGACCATGTACTACTGGAACCTCAGACTTACTGTACACAACTACAGTGTCACTTTAATCAACTTTATTTAAAGGAAGGTGCTGTTTATTTATTATACACTGTCAGAAAAAGGTTCTGTGCAGGGTTCATTTTTCACCAAGGTACAAACAGCGTAAATGCATTCTCAAAGGTACAACAGTGGTTTTAAGGTCAAATATTGTAACTTAGATATGAATGTATTTATTTACTTTTTATAAGCACATGTTTAAAATAGAACGATACAATTAAAAGGCTGGAGACAAGACAGAGTGTGTGGAATTAATGCAACTTAAAAAAATATAACTGCAGTGAAATATGGTACAAATATGTTCACTAACTGAGGATAATGAAGACGTACCCTTGAGGGAACCACCCTGTGACAGTTGAGTGCACCTGTGGACTGACTGCCGTCATGTCATTTAAGGATGAACATCTGTGAAAGGAAGAGGAATAAACCACAGAGAGAGTGAGAGTGAGTAAGAGAGAGAGAGAGACAGAGACAGAGAGAGGAAATTGCTGCATGGTATCGGTATCCCAATTAGCAATACCGATACTGTGTTTAAGCGCCAGTATCGGTGCTGATACTAATATGTTATCAGTATCATTGCAACCCAAAATACAGTTACTGTTTATTACTAGAACAAATTGCATAAAAAGTTGTTTATAATTCTAGTTGTGTAATTCTGAATCAAAATATTTTGATTTTTTTCTGTTCTGGGCTTTGGGGTACTTGTTTGGGGTCCCATGTTGGCTGGCTGCAACTCACTTGCCATAGAGGCGCTGATATTTCAATGGTAACAAAATGGTTATTTATCAATTCTTATTTTGAAAATGCTCTTTTCTAGTCTTGTTTAACGCAGTCTTCAACACATTAATTGGGATGTAATTAACACATAAATTCGGCCAGTCTCTTGGGAAACTGGGTGAGGCTTCAGATTTCAAAACAAGCTGCGGCACATTACAAAGGTTTTCAGAGGTATCCAGGCATAGTTACAGTTACACGGTTATGGAGGACCAACTGGGTGAACCAGTCTGCTACAGCGCCACCCTGAGGCAGAGCAGAGAACACCAAAGACAGAAGATGATTGTGGGTGAAGCAGATAAAGCAATGATCTTAACTTAATCTGGATTTGAGTGTCTATTTTCTCTAATAGACAGCAAAATGTCCTAATAAGTTTATTTTCAGGGACCCCCCAGATTTCTGTTTTTGAGACATTCAGGGGGTCCAAAAAGTTAATTAGGAGGTCCCAGGACCCCCTGTATTTTGCCCTTCAGTTAGAGTGGCTTTGTGTGGTTAACCTCTAAGAGGCAGAGTAGGGCTAGGAGTGACCAGCCTCTGTTTTCAGTTGCTTTTCAAGTGGAATTTATGCCTTGTTCTAATAAAGGGTATTTCTTGAGCAGAAATGATGACCTCACCTGATTCTTCATCTGCACAACACCATAATATTATGTGTCCTGTTTGAAGACCATGTACTGCTGGTACCTCAGACTTAGTGTACACAACTGTAAGTCTGAAAGTGCTATTTATTTATTATACACTGTCAGAAACAAAAGTAAAGTACAGGTCCTCTTTTTTTATTCACCAAGGTCCAAACATTGTAAATGTTCTCTGAAATGTACAACAGTGATGTAAAGTCAAATTTTATACCATAAATACATTTTTCCCAGCAGAGACGTATGTATTTTTACCTTTTTATAACCTAATATTTTAAAATAGAACAATAGAACTAAAAGGCTGGAGACAAGTCAGAGTGTATAGAGTTAATACAACTTAAAAAATTCAATTGTTGTGTAAAATGGAACAAATATGTTGCCTAACTAAAGGTACTGAAGTTGTACCCCTGAGGGAACCACCCCAGTGACAGTTAAGTACATTTTTTTCTGAGTGCACGTGTGGACTGACTGCAGGTATATCATTTAAGGATGAACATCTGTTAAAAGAAGAGGAATAAACCACAGAGTAAGAGAGAGAGAGAGAGAGAGAGAGAGAGAGAGAGAGCGCGAGCGAGCGAGCTTGTACATCCCTTTTGTCTTTGGTTTGAGAGATGAGTAACTCACTCTTTCCACCAGCTGCTGTGTGGAATCAGTATTCCCATTAACAATACTGATACTGCATTTAAGTGCTGATAGCTTTACTTTATAATGATTTTTTTTCAGGGATCCCCCCAAAATTTTGACTCCATTTTGGTTCTAAAAGGTTAATTTTGGGGTCCTGGACCCCTGGGACTCCCTGTGCTTCGCACCTTGGTTAGAGAGGCTTTGTGTTAGTAACTTCTAAGAGACAGAGTAGGACTAGAAGTAACTGGCCTTTATTTTCAGTTGCTTTTCAACTGGAATTTATGCCTTGTTCAAATATAAGAGCATTTTTCAAGCAGAAATTACGGCCTCACCTGATTCTTCTTTTGCACAACACCACAATATTATGTATTCTGTTTGAAGACCATGTACTGCTGGTGCTTCAGACTTACTGTACACAACTATAGGGTCATTTTAATCAATGTTACTTTCAAAGAAAGTGCTGCTTATTTACAACCCCATTTCCAAAAATTATGTGCAAATCATTTAAACCCTATATTTCACTGAAAATTGTACCATGATAACAAATGTTGAAACTGAGAAATTTAATTGTTTTTTGAAAAATATATACCCATTTCGAATTTGATGCCAACAACACATTCCAAAAAAGTTGGGACAGGGCACGTTTACCACCGTGTTTCATCACCTCTTCTTTTAACAACACTCTATAAGTGTTGGGAAACTAAGAAGACACTGCTGTAATTTAGAAAATGAAATGTTTTCCTGTTCTTGTTTGATATACAATTTCAGCTGCTCAACAGTTCGGGGGCTGATTTGTCATATTTTTCGTTTCATAATGCACCAAATATTTTCTGTGGTGACAGGTCTGGAATGCAGGCAGGCTTGTTTAGCGCCCAGACTCTTTTAATACAGAGCTGTGCTGTTGTAATGCAGTCACTTCCACTACAGAATCATGTCTGTTTTTAATGCAGTGCTGTCTGAGGGCCCAAAGATCACAGCCAGCAAATACTGGTTTTTGGCCTTGTTATTATCTTTTAATGATATTATGTACCATAGATGATGAAAAGCAAAAGTTCTTTGTTATTTTACGTTGAGAAACGTTATTCTTGAATTGTTGCACTATTTGATTGTGCAGTCTTTCACAGAGTGGTGAACCCCTCCTCAACTTTACTTCTGAAAGACTCAGCCTTTCTGGGATGCTTGCCATTAACCACCAGGTGTTTTTTAAGCATTAAACTTTACCAGTCTTTTGTTGCCCCTTTTTTTGGAACGCGTTACTGGCATCAAATTCATAATGGGCATATATTTTTCAAAAAACAATAAAATTTCTGTTTCAACATTTGATATGTTGTCTTTGAAGCATTTTCAATGAAATATAGGATTTAAACGATTTGCACATCATTGCATTTTGTTTCTATTTACATTTTTCACAGCGTTCCAACTTTTTTGGAAATGGGGTTGTATTATGTACTATATACAAAGTTACTGTGCAGGATTAATACAAAACAATAGTTTGGAGGTCAAATTTTGTGTCTTAAATCATTTTTTTCACAGTGAAGAGGTATGAATTTACATCTTTCCGTAATGTAATGTTATAAAATGGAACAATACAATTAAAAGGTTGGAGATACGACAGTGTGTATGGAGTCAATGCAAAACATTTTAAAAATGTAACTGCAGTGTAATATGGTATAAATATGTTTAACTGAGGTTGTACACTTGAGGGAACCACCCCTTTTTTTCTGAGTGCACATGTGGACTGACTGCAAGTATGTCATTTAAAGATGAACATCTGTTAAAGGAAGTGGAATAAACCACAGAGTAAGAGTGAGAGAGAGAGAGAGAGAGAGAAGAGAAAGATAATAAGACAGAGAGAAAGACAGAGAGATCAAACAACAGCAACTTGAACAGCACCAGTTAAGCTGAAGCTCAGTTCAGAATGAAGATCATCATCACCTTCTACCTGATCACAGGTCAGTCATCTATTTTAACTGGATCTTATTAGACCATTTACCGAGTTGGACACTCCCAAAGTAACTTGTACCGTTACACTCTGCTAGTGTTCTAAGCTTATTGATGTTACTGAGATGAGAAATACATTTCCTTTTTGCTGGCAGGTCTAGTGAGCTGCACTGATGTGATAGGCTACTCTGGGGGCAGTGTCATAATGGCCACAGGTGATAGTCTGCGGTGGAGCTCACACAGTCCAAAGTATATCTGCAAGTTTGCAGGAGGTGCCTGCAAAACTGAAATATATTCTACTGCTCAAAACGAGACTGTTTTTGAAGGAAGGCTCTCACTGTATAAAAATAAACAAGGATTGTTCGCAGTGTTAATCAGAGAGCTGAACCCACAGGATGCTGGAAAATACAGATTTGGATTGGGGAATAAGTGGCATCGGGAAATAAATCTGAAAGTTCAACATGGTGAGGGATTCGCAATAAAGCCCAAAGTAAGCATATCATTCTTTTCTATAAATGTATATAATGACCTGTTTTTATGATCGACAGATGCTTGTTGTGGGAAGTCAATGACAGTGATTGGACATCTGAACAAGGAGATCAGCATCAGTTGTGACTATACAGAGGAACATAAGAGAGAATGGAAGTATTTATACAAACTGAACGGTCACTCAGCTGATTTGGTCATTTTTACTATGCCTGGCAGAAACCACAAAGAAAAGAATTTTCACATCACCGATGATAATCGTTCAAACCTTTTCACTGTGACCATCTGTGATTTGAAAGAAGTGGATGGTGGGGTTTATTTCTGTGGCACACAGACCTGGAAATATCCAATCAAAGTTTTCTCTTCAATCAAAACTGTACATCTACATGTTACTGGTGAGAAACATTAACTCATCTATTAGCAGTGGTGAACTGTGACTATTAGAGCTGGGCCTTCAGTTTAGACCACAAAAGTCAAAACTTGCAGTAATAGACTGTAACAGACCTGATTAGAAGACTTATGACTGTTAGTTTGACTTAGAGTTCAAGACTTAGACTTTAAGTTTGAAAAAGAATTTACACGTTTTTCATTTGAAGTTTGTAAAAGACATTAATAAATAAACCGCCTAGACAAAAAAAAAAGTCACCTTTCATGTTTAAGGTGGTAGTAATTCAGGCTCCTGCAGGTGTCATTGCACAAGAATGATCAGGCTATAAATACCTGCAGGGTGTGACAAATTCATAGATTGAGAAGAGGTGGTACAGTGCAATGAATGTCTCGTTCAATGTGTGGAAAATGGGTCACAAAGCAGATGTTTACAGGAAATTGAGAATTGTGGCTGAAAGATGAAACTGACGGATAGGGAATGCCTGTAATGAACGTAGACTTTAAATACACCAAAAATGATGATTCAATTAAATAAAAAAAAATTAAAATTACAGACTTGAAATCATTAGGCTTTCTCTGAAGGTCTAGAAAGTCCCACTGTTATTTACTTTATGGACTTTCTGATGAAATTCTATTTGGTGTTTAACTTGACAGATAAATTTCCGAGTTCAGTTAGAGTGACTGGATTCTTAGGAGGACGCGTCATGATGAAGTGTCGACACCATCTGGAAAACCCTAGAGCCAGATTCCTCTGTAGGGAATCACAAGGGGAATGTCCAGAGAAGACATACACCAATGTCCAGAACGAATGGCAGCAGAATGGAGGATTTTCTCTGTATGACGACACCAGTGGAGAGGCCTTAATGGTGTTCTTCAGAAATCTGTCAGAAGGGACCTACAGGTGTGGAGTGGACGTATCAGAGTTTACTGAGCAGTACATAGAAGTGAAACTGGAGGTGAAGGAAGGTAAGAAATGATTTGAATGTGAAATTTTGATTGTGTCTTACTGCCAAAATAAAAATCTAAAGTGAAAATTTCTGTAAACATGATACTTGAATTTAATATTTCTTCAGATCCTTGTTGTGTGAAGATCATCTCACAGGCTGGTTATATCGGTGAAACTCTCACAATCACCTGTGAACACCCACCAACACTCAGAGCCAGTCTAAAGCACTTCTGTAAAGAGGATGAGAATCTCATCTGCCAAGACATCAGAGCTGCAGGGAAATATTTCTTATCTGACCACAGCCAACCAGGACTCTTCACAGTGACCATCAGTAATCTGACCCTCAGTGATGCTGGAGTGTACTGGTGTGGAGTAGAGACCAATGAAGGGGATAATAGTTACACTTCCCTGATCACAAAAGTGCAAATCAGTATTATCTGTAAGTAAACAGACCTTTTCATCTAATACATTTGAATTAATGTAGCAACAACCTAATGTTCTCTTTCATCTCCCTGATTTCAGCCAGCAAAGTGATCGGACATGAAGGAGATGCTGTTGAGATTAGATGTCCTTATGACTCAAAGTATAAGCAGAATTCAAAGCATGTTTGTAAAGACGAGTGTTTTACTGAATACAGTGATTCTCTTGTTTCTCAACGGACGACTCAAAACAAGACAGAGAGATTTGTGCATGATAACATCACGGCTGGGGTCTTTAGTGCGAATATCAGTAGAGTGACAGCAGAGGATGCTGGGAGATACTGGTGTGGAGTGGAAACAGGAGACGTCTTGATGAATTATCTCTCCATTGAACTGCAGGTCGTCAGGAAAGAAGGTGGTACATGGGGGTCTTGATTTGGTGTGTTCAATTCTTAGAATGAAATCTATGGAAGGTTATATATATTGTTTCATTTGTTTTTAGTGCTTCAGGTCTTTGGACGAGAAACACTCAGTGTCTCCATTGAGTGCAGCTACAGAGGAGAGTCTACAGAGAGTGATGGGAAATTCCTCTGCATGGGGCAGCAGCTGTCCAGCTGTGACAAAGGTGGAGTCAAAGTTTCATCAGAGAAAAACAGAACTGACAGATTCTCTCTGAGTGATGATGCACCTGCTGGAGTCTTCACTGTGACCATCACAGATCTGAGAGAGGAGGATTCTGGGACGTACTGGTGTGGGGAGGAGAGCCTTGGATCCTCCATCTACACTGAAGTGTATCTGCATGTTTCAAAAGGTAAACAGTAAAAAAAAAGATTAAAAAAAAAAACTTTGCAAACAGCTACAAAACTGTTTAAAGTTATATGAATTTAGTTTATTTGAAAGGTCTTCTAACTCACTACTGCATCCAAGTTAGGTCAACAAGTTCTCTTTGACTTCCAACCATGGAAAGCATGAAAATATTACACTCAGAATTTTCTTTTGTGGGTCCAGAGAGGTGCAAATATCTAACTTCCTGTGAGTTTGAGTCCTGGAAGTGACCCTGATGACTGAGCAAATGTTTGCATAGTTATGTCACCTGGGACGCCTTGAAAGTACTGTGTTTAACAGACTGTAAAAAAAGGAAAAAGGTTGTTTTAACTTAAAAGTGATACAAAAATTAAGAAAGTAATGAAACTTGAAAATTAGGAGAACAGGTCTGATGTGAGCGTTTCATAAGATCTGTGTTCAAACATTTGTCTTTGATCTTAAAGAGTGAGAGAGTGATTGAAAATGAAACCACCAGATGCAAAATGACAAAGGAAATTGGAGCAGGGGGTCAAAATTAACATAGGAGGGTTTGTGTTATCTGTATTTGAGCAAGATAGAAGTGAAAAAGGGAATGACAGAGCTTTGTTCAGACATAGACACATACAGCTGGTTTTATATGTGGTTGGTATAGTTTAGTGGGTAACACCTATGCCTTCTATGCTGTGTTCAATAACTGCCTGGGTAAACACTCTACATTATACCAATAAGAGTCCTTGGGCAAGACTCCTAACACTACCTTCACCTACCTGTGTAAAATTATCAAATTGTAAGTCGCTCTGGGTAAGAGCGTCTGCCAAATGCTGTAAATATATGTTCCATAAGTCATTACAACGGTGGAACCATAGCAGCACCCTAGCAACCACCTAGGATACCATAGCAACCACTTCACCTTAAGTACCATAGTAACGTTTTGGCAACACGTTAGCAACTGCTAACCATCCAGCAACACCCTAGAAACCGCCTGTAAACTGCTTAAGCTTCACAATCACTCTGCATTTTCTTCAGGAAATGTACGACTCTATTCAGTATGGTTATTCCACTATTATACAGACATTACCATTTAAGGGTTTACTGATCAAAAGGTTGATCCTAACATGTAAGTCCTATGCAATTTCACTCTCACATCATCTAAGCCGCTTATCCTCCTGGGTTGCGGGGGGTAGCTGGAGACTATCCCAGTGCTCACTCAGCGGAAAGCAGCAAACACCCTGGAGAGGTCACCAGCCCATCACAAGGCAGACACACAGTCACACACACCTAGGCTCAATTTAGTGTCACCAATTGGCCTGACCGCATGTCTTTGGACTGTGGGAGGAAACCCAAGCAGACACGGGGAGAACATGCAAATCCACACAGAAAGGACCCGGTCGCCTGTCCGGGGAATCGAACACAGGCCCTTTAGATAAATAGCTTTTTAAATATACCTTTCTCAGGTGCCTAAACCACATAAAATTTTACTACATAAAATAAAAAAATATATAAATATGGCAACACACTTTTAAACAGTTGTGTATGTATAAACTTGAATGTTAAGAATGTTATGCTGTGCCTTTCACCCTCTTTCTGTTCCTGTCACTGTGTGTTTCCAGGTCCAGGTTCCTCTGTCATCACTGTGTGTGTCTGTGTGACTCTGCTGCTGATTGGAGCATCAGCACTGATCTACTACAGACTGAAAGCACAAGGTTTAGACTCTCACACACATTCACATATTCACGCATATGCTTCATGTGGTGTTGATATTTCACTACAGCAAAAAGATATTTAGTTCTTTTATAATTAGTGGTGTGCAGGTTTAATAGGGAGTTTCACAACGTAGTCCAAAACTGGTCTGATAGGATTTTCTGGAGTGAAACAATAGGCTTCTATTTGAAGCACCTTCTTGTGGAGGGTCTTTTAGCCTGGTTGTACATTAAATTTTAAGGTGATTTTGCTGCCTGGAAAAACAGAACTAGCCTTTGACAGAGTTATTTGTCCTAGTGAGTCAAATAACAACAACAATGATAAGCGGGGTGGTGTGAGGTTGAGGTGAAACATGATATTATTGCATTAGCGTAAAGTAAGGCACAGGAAGAGCATGTTTCCACCATAAGAAGTGAGCATTATTAAAGACAAGGGCAGAAAGGCACAGAAACACAAACCCGCAGGGTAGGTCACCACTAACTATACACTTGACCCACAAGTTGAGTACCAATCTACACTAACTAAACCTACCTCCTGACACTGAACAACAAAATAAACACATACCATATCCTTTTAACTGAGACCTAGAGAGCTGTGCTTTTCAGAAGCTGGTCGCTACATAGCTCCCCCTTCAAAAGGTCAACCGTCCAAGGTGACTTACCAGCTTGAGCCTGTGCGCACGCAGTACCGACCAGCACAAACACTGTGGGCAACAGCAGCAACAACAGCTCCCCACCCAGCAACCATTCACTCTCTCTGCTACCCAGCATACCATTAACACTGGTATGAATGCCACTCGTACACACTGGGGCCCCACCTTCACTGTTGGTGACTGAGCTGGACAATGGTTGCCTTCCAGCCATTTGATGTGCCTCTCTCAGTGTGCGATGGCCGGTCGCAGTAGAGATATTGATAAGCCCGTGACAGCAAGCATGAAATGCCATCTGTCGTCTATGCTGCACATGACTCACAGCCTGTGGCTGCTGCTGAACCTCACTGCCCGTATTGGTCTATCGGCCGTGCCAGGCTCATTCTGCCGCCAGTGTAGTGTATTCTGTCTATGCAACAATGACTTACCAACCCCTCCGCTGCACGTTGTGGTGCTCCCACTTTTCTGGAAGGTGCATGCCTCACCAGTGGGGGGTCGTTACAATATTACTGCATTATTTTTCTTTGCCTACTGGTGCACGGTGACTTAATCCATTAAAAAAGATTTTTTTCTTTAAATGACATGAAATAACAAGTTGTGCTTAAGAATGACATATAAGATGAACTAACAAAGTAAGGCAACTGATGGACTAATATTGGACAACAATCTAATTTATATTACTGTGATCAGTCATGTGATTTTTATCTGTGTTCCTTAGGCTTCTTCTCTTCAAATAGGACAGATATATCAAACAATGATGGAGTGAGTATGTCTGTTTGTGTTTTTTTTTTGTGCAGTTTTGGGAACAAGCTGTTTCTTTGCAGATCTTGTCAATCTCATTCATTCTCAGGTTTCTCCTGTGGCCTGTGACTATGAGGAGATTAATCACAGCAGACAGCATCCTGACTCAGACTCCAACGTTTACATGAACACTTCATCACCCACCAACAGCTCTGATAAGAACACAGGTAACATCCAAAATACAACAAATGATCTACAGCAAGATTGGAGCTGGTTTCCCAAACATGGATTAAGCCTAGTCTTGGGACTAAATTGGAATGTCAATAGCCATCCACATCACCCTCATAGTGACCCCCCCTCACACACAGAACACATTAACACTAACCACACATTCCCCCAACACAGAAAAACATAATACACACATATCACATACCTTTAACACACGAACAACAACATAAACAACACAAATATTCCCTTTTTTGGAGGGTTTGCGCCTCCCATGAATCTCCTGGCACAGCCATCCGTATGGCCACTCTTCAAGGGCTTCTAGAGGCCAACTCCAGCCAGTAGTGGGTCGCTACAATAGAGATTCCCCTTTGGCAATTGTAACCTAGGCTTAAGCTGGGTCTTGGAAACTGGTCCTTGGTGAAAAAAAGAAAAAAAAATAAATAAATTCACTGAAAGCAGCCTGAAATCTAGTGCTGTAGTATTGTTTTAGTGTTGATTTCTCTTGTCCTGGACTTGTCTTGGCCCTCTGTCTTTCATCCCGCCAAATTTTGTCTCAGCGCTCAGCCGAGACCACCAACATTTTCTTTAAAAATGCATGTATTTATTTGTTTTTTCTTTCTCTTAACTGTCACCAACACTCAGACTCATACTCAAAACCAAACCATTGCATCTGATTGTGATTTAGTCAGTTCAATAATGAATCTCTCCTTCTGTTTTTGGCAGCTGTGTGTATCTATTCTACTGTACAACTACCCAAAGATGAAGGCCCTACTTACGCTACTGTGAGCTTCCAGAAAAATCCAGATTCTCCTAAGGATAGCACAGTCGCTTTCATTAAGGAGGAATCTTCTACTCAGTATGCCACAGTTAAGCACCACTCAATGACCTGCTGATTCCTGCTAGACTCATTACTCTACAGTGCAAATCTGCAGACTGAGGATGGGACACAATGCACAAGGCCAGAGAAGGTGGATTTTGTGAAGAGTGAGACTGGATCGCAACTTAGAATGTAATGTTTGGAATTAATTTGAGAGATTGAATATCCTCATTATAAAGCTCCTGAGGATTATGACGTAGATATAGTCATATTATTTACTATCCGAAACCACTGTAGAATAGAACATCACCATCTGAAACTTTATAGGTAATGCTTACATAATGGTAAAACCAAATGGGTGCCTTGAACATTCATGAACTGGATTAATAGACTATCCAGGATGGATACAGTCATGAACTGGATTAACTGAACATCAAGGATCAATAAAGTTATGAACTAGATTAACTTGCAACCCAGAATCTACAAGGTCATGAACTCCGTTCACTGGTTATCCAAGAACAATACAGTCAATAATATGTCTAACTATCTATTCAGGATCAGTACAGTCATGAACTGGATTAACTGACTATCCAGGATCAGTTCAGTCAGAAAATGGATTAACTGACTATCCAGGGTCAATAGAGTCATTAACTAGGTTATCTGGCTACCCAGGATCTATACAGTCATGAACAGGCTTAACTGACTGTCCGGGATCAATTCAATCAATAACAATATTAATAGGCTATCCAGGATCAATATAATCATGAAATGGATTAACTCTCCAGGGACCAACACAGTCATGAACTAGATTAATTAACTACCCAGGGATAAACACAGTCATTAACTAGATTAACTGATTATCCAGGAACAATACAGTCATGAACTGGATTAACTGACTATCCAGAATTAACAGATTCACAAAATGGATTGACTGACTATCCAGGATAAATGTAGACATGGACAGGATTAAGTGATTATCCAGGATCAATGCAGTCTGTAATACAAATAACTGACTATCCAGGATCAGTACAGTCAGATTCTGGATTTACTGAGCATCCAGGATCAGTGCATGCATTAAATGGACCGAATGACCATCCAAGATCAATACAGTCATGAACTAGATCAACTGACTATCCAGGATCAGTACAGTTAGATACTGGATTTACTGAGTATCCAGGATTAATGCAGTCATGAACTGGATTGGATGACTATCCAAGATCAATACAGTCATGAACTAGATTAACTGACTATCCAGGATCAATACTGTCATTAACTGGGTTAACTAACTATCCACGATCAATACTGTCAATTTAACTGGCTGTCAAGGATACAGTGAATGAAAGCATTACTGATCTTTTGCTAGATGTAAATCTCAGACTAACACAGTCAGTAAAAGGTTTACATGTCGGTTCCAGAAGAAACAGTCATGTACAATGTCTAGTTGACTATCCAGGATCAGCAGCTAATGGCCACCCAAGACAAGCAGCTCATCATGCTCTGCAAAGTACTATTAAGTTCACTAGCATGCTAACTAGAGAATCAGTTAGGTACTTGTTAATATTGTCAATTACATTAACAAAAAACACAATTTTCTTAGTTTTACTGTTTGCATAACCCAACTAGTCAGTTAGCAGTGCTAGTTGGTAAGATAACTGACTAGCCTGAATGAGAGACTCAACATTATCTATCCACAATATCTGTCAGTGGATAAAATGACTTTAGTAAAATGTTCCTTTTTGTTTTATCATAATACATTTCAGTATGGAAAAAGCTCATAAATCAATGTGTTTGTTTTGTTTGTCACAAATCGATGATTGGACGATTGCGGTGTTTGTCCAGGAAAAGAAAATGAACAATTATACAGGATGAGGCACAACTGCGTTTCCTGCCTTCTGTTGGAAATTGTTTTATTTTCATTTATTTTGTGGTTTTATCTTATTCATTGTCAAACAGTATTAATGCTGATGGGTTTAAGAAGCCACCTCTATTTCTGTTCTTGTGATTTGAACAATTACTCCAAAAGGCCTTACAACAAGACTCCCTAAGGAGGATGTCCTGGAGCAGAAGACAGTAAGATATTTATGACAGTAAGGTATTTACAAGATTCAAATCTCCCACTCTGTTCTGTTTGACTCTCTTGGGGGTGGGAAGATTTAGAGTTAAAAGCACTGGGTCCAACCTGGTTTAGTTGCATGAATGTATGTAGAATCAGATTCACTTCATTACACCAAGTATGTTGCACATACAGGGAATTTGTCTTGGTGAGTCACATATGTATAATCACTGAACAGACCAGACAAGCACGAGCTGTGGAAAGGAGCTAAAGAGATGTGTGAATATCTGTACTTATACAGATATGAATGTCTGTACATATCACTGCTATCGGGAAAAATCTCCATTTTTTGTCATTTTTCATTTTTTGACATAAATGGTAAATACTGGCTGGCCTTTGCATTGTGTTAAAATCTGATGATGAATGCATCATTATAAATATTCCAAAATGCTTGGAAAAAAGTATGTTCCATTAACCATCATTCAGAGGAAAAAAGATTTTCTCCATCTCTTGTAAAGTTACTTTTTTGAAGATAGAAAGTTTTGTTATGACAATGACGATATATGGGTCTGAGAAGAGCTATACTACAGGGAGATTCACTCAAAAGAGGCCCCGAATATTCTGTAATAACTCACGCTAGGATGAAGCAGTCTGAACAAAACCACGTGCAATGAGCTCCGCAGTATATGCAGCTTCGAACAAGCCAGGAAGCCCCTGCGTCGGAGTGACAAGGGAGGCACCAGACAGCTGTCGTGACGTTTAACTGGTATGTTCAGGAACATGGAGTGCCCTTTAAAATGTGTCTGGCAGAAAACAGATTACTTCCAGCATCGCATGTAATGCAATCGATTACACATACGTCAAGGTATGTAGTGCATTTTTTTGGTTCAGATTGCTTCATGCTAACGGGAGTATATTCGAGGCCTCTTTTGAGTGAATCTCCCTGTATTATAGATATATTTAAGAAGGATATAAACATTTGTAAAAAGTATTATTATGTATGTGTAGCATAGTAACTTGAGCTTAGGATGTACTGACACCTTTATCTCAGCAGGAGGAGCTGTTTATCTCAGAGCTCAGTTTGCAAACCTGACTGTAATTTCATGCCTTTTGACCAACATTCACACCATGTGCATATACACTTGTGCGTTCAGCTTCTGTGAATCATACAGTCATGCGGGTGGGGGTGGGGGTTGTTAAGCATAAAGGAAAGGCAAGAGGAAGGAGGTGGTTTCACACTGTTAGAACTGCTTAACGGCATCATCAGCGAGGGCAGAGAGCAAATAGACAGGATCAGATAAACACAGTGACTCAGCGATGAAGATCCTGCTCCTGATCCTCACCCTCTACGTCATCTCAGGTCAGATACTCTACTGATCTACTAGATCATTTCTTTATTAAAAAAGTGTGAGACGCGCTTCATTTGGTTCTTTAGATTTAACATAGCTTGCATAGTCGTGTTGTATTAGCTACTGAATAATGTGCTAGGTAATAAGCCTTAATGATAATGATAATAATGAGACTAAAATACCTGCTCTGTGGTGGTCCTGTGGGGTCCTGGACTTTATGCAGAGAAATAGATGAACTACAGTCTGTAATTGTGCAGCTTTACGGCACCTGCACCATAAAACAGGCTTGGAGTGTAGATACAAGTTAGGTGTACCTAATAAAGCAGCCAGTAAGTGTCTCTAATCCATCCAAAGCTTGTGATTTATATCTAGTTTCGTAGACAAAGAACATTATTTGGAATACCGTGGGCATGTAAACATCCTGTCATACTGCAAAATAAAGTTTTTTACCCTGAGTTTAGTTTAGTATGTGGTCAGTGATGCTGGTGGGCTGTGATGCTGAGCCACTCTGACACTTTACAGATGAAGAGGAAATCTAGAAACAGACACAGAGACTCAGACACAGCACAGCACAGCACGTTACCAAGAGCTGCAAAACTCTGATCAGTGAACAACAAAAGAGATTATTTTTATTATCATCAGTGAATCTCAGAATATAGATCCTCCTCATCTTCATCGTCCTCCTGATCACAGTTATCCATGGTAATGTTAGTGAAGCTGCAGCTAATGTAATTGCTATTTGAATTGGCCGAACCACAGAAAGGTAACGTTAGCCAACACAAATCAAGACGTATTTTGTTTACCTGCAAGTTTTTCCATCAATCAAAACGACCAGCCAAGTTATTTTTAAGTTATAACTTACAGCTACAATGAAACTACATTACTTCAAGCAACCAGTTAAATTCTAGTAGCTCATAAATGTGAACATAGTTGGCAGTTTATGTTCATCCTAGGCATCGATCGAACTTGCAACTGGCTGCTGGAGTTTAGAGATGATCCTGAGGCCACTGAGTTCACAAGATACTGCCTGGCAGACACCGGACGTCAGTTTGATCATGAGAATAGTGACATCCGGTGCCTGCTGGGGTGCGGTTTACTTTATTTCTGAAACTACACAAAATTAAAAACACAAAGCTGAGCTTACGACCAGGCATAATACCTGTTGGTACAGCCAGCCCCTGATTTAAACTAGTAAAGACTTGAAAGAACACTGGCAAAAATCCTGTTCGCACAATTCTCTAAATTCAGGTTGCATTATAAAATGTTAAATGATGCGTATTGTGTGACCAACCAGTCTTCTAGAGGAGTCCTAGAAGAGTTTCCATCTCCTACTGGGTCCCTGGGTTATTATTTAGTGCGAGTAATTACTGTTAGGGTGGCACAGAGGTACAGTGGGTAGCGCTGTCGCCCCCACAGCAAGAAGGGCCTGGGTTTGATTCCCCAGCTGGGCGACCAGGGTCCTTTCAGTGTGGAGATTGCATGCTCTCCCCGTGTCTGTGTGGGTTTCTTCCCCCAGTCCAAAGACATGTTGTCAGGTCAACAGAACATGGTAAATTGTGAATGAATCTGTCTGTCTGTCTGCCCTGTGATGGACTGGTGACCTGTCCAGAGTGTATCCTGCCTTCTGCCTGATGACAGCTGGGATAGGCTCCTGTGACCCAGAAGGCAAAATTTCATTTGTCTTATTTGCTCAAATTTGACACTTAAAGGAAGATTTTTTTTTCATTTAAAAGGCATTTTGTTAAAGCTAGCCTCTCGCTATATGATGTAATGCCGATTTATCAGTAGTTCTCCCATGACCACTCTCCAGCACAGTTAATGCTAATGAAAATTACTGTTGTTACTAATACTACTCATATTAATGCATCAGCTGAAGGGCTGACAAAGATCTATGCCAATAACCTCCAATATAAATAACTTGTTGACCACATTCAAACTGAACTGTAGAACAAAGGTTCTTACAATTTTTATTTTTATTGTTATTCTTGGTGATTAAGATGATTTTGATTGTCTAGCTCTGAAGCATTTTTCAGGTTGTCAAACTAGGCTAGATTGGAGGGAACTGAATGAATTTTGTTCGGCTGCCCACTTTAGAGAAGGTTCACCACTGTTCCAAGTTTTCTCCATTTAGAGATGATGGCTGTCATTGCGGTTCATTCTTCTCTTCCAGAACGTCTTTTGATTGTTTTATAGTGCGCTGCTCATTGAGACCTTTTAGCCTAGTTCACATTGCTGGAAAAGTTATATTGAAGTGATGTTTAGATTTAACAGGGCTGGCAGATTTAAATCAAGCCTGGGTGTGACTAGTTATCTGATGCCTTTTTTGTTTGTTTTTGAGACCATGTACTCCTGGTGCAAGTAATTGTAAACACATAAAGCATCATTTTAATCAGTTTTATTTACATTTTATCTAAGTTTTATCTAAGCTGTTGTTTATTTTTAAGTGTGGGTGTGGACTGATCACAGACATGTCACTTAAGGATGCACAACTGTTGAAGACTGATAAGGAAGAGAAAGAGGAACAAGGCACACAGAGAGGGAGAGAGAAATGAAGAAGGACGTACATTATTTTCTTTTTAGACAAACAACAGCAACTTGAACTGCACCAGTTAAGCTGAAGCTCAGTTCAGAATGAAGATCATCATTAACTTCTATCTGATCACAGGTCAGTCATCTATTTTAACTGAATATTCTTTATTGAACCAATTAGTCCAGTTTGACCCTCCCAAAGTAACTGAAGTTTAAAGTTGCCTTCACATTCGTTGTCTAAGCTTATTTAATTTACTGAGAATTTGTTTTTGCTGGCAGGTCTAGTGAGCAGCATTGATATGATTGGCTACTCTGGGAGTAATGTCGTTATGGTCATTAGACAATGGTTGGGCAATCCAAAGTATATTTGCAAGTTGGAAGACGATGTCTGCAAAAACGAAATGTACTTTAATACCCAAAAAGACACTGTTTATGAAGGAAGGTTTTCACTGTATAAAAATACACAAGGATTGTTCACAGTGTTAATCAGAGAGCTGAACCCACAGGATGCTGGAATATACAGGTTTGTTTGGGAGCCTCACTGGCATCAGGAAATTAACTTGAAAGTGAAGAAAGGTAAGAAAACACAAATAAAGCACAGAGAAGTTTTTAATTCCATTTTATACATGTATATAATGACCTATTTTTATGATTGACAGATGCTTGTTGTGTGAAGTCAGTGACAATGACTGGACATCTGAACAAGGAGATCAGCATCAGCTGTGACTATACAGAGGAGCATAAGGAAAAATGGAAGTATTTGTACAAACTGAAAAGTCACTCAGCTGATGTGGTGATTTATACTTCTCCTGGTAGAAACTACGAGAAAAACAATTTTTACATCTTTGATGATCAACATTCAAACCTTTTCACTGTGAACATCCATCATTTGAAAAAAGAGGATGGTGGGGTTTATTTCTGTGGTGTACAGACTAGTGGACGCCTAATCAACATCAGCTCTACAATCAAAACTGTACATTTACGTGTTGCTGGTAAGAATCTTGTACCATGACTATTAGAGCTAGGCCTTCAGTTTGGGCCATAAATGTCAAATCTATATGATAATGTTAATTTCTGCAAGAGTCTCTATGGGATTTCAGAAATTATGTTAGCGCTAAGCTAACAGTCATGCACATGAACATTTTTTTGGCTGTTGTAGATTAAATATAGACTTGAAGCTTGTAAAAAACATCATGTTTTTTCTCTGAAGCATGTAACAGACAATTTCCTGTATTATCCATAATACTACAGTTTTACATTCTAACATAACTGACTGAAACGTGGCTAGACTATGGCTTGGTCATTTAAGGGGTTAATCTATTGTGCAAAGCCTTCAGCCGAGCTCCTGAAGTCCTGACCAATAGGAGAGCTAGTGTGGCTGTATCTGAGCAATCTTCTGTTGGGCATGTCAAGATATTAACCATTTTGTTTCCAACCTCTGAAGGCATATAAGTTTCCCTGCTAATATGTACTTTATAATGTTCCTACTGACTGATGAGATTCTATGTGCTACATATATGTATATGATGTGTGTTTAACTTGACAGATAAAGTTCTGAGTTCAGTTAGAGTGACTGGATTCTTAGGAGGACGCATCATGATGAAGTGTCGACACCCTCTGGAAAACCCTAGAGCCAGATTCCTCTGTAGGGAATCACAAGGGGAATGTCCAGAGAAGACATACACCAATGTCCAGAATGAATGGCAGCAGAATGGAGGACTTTCTCTGTATGACGACACCAGTGGAGAGTCCTTAATGGTGTTCTTCAGAAATCTGTCAGAAGGGACCTACAGGTGTGGAGTGGACGTATCAGAGTTTACTGAGGAGTACATGGAAGTGAAAGTGGAGGTGAAGGAAGGTAAGAAATAATCTCTTATGACTGTGTCCGCATCAGCAAAAATCTTTGTGATGTGATATTTGAATTAATATTTCTTCAGATCCTTGTTGTGTAAAGATCATCTCACAGGCTTGTAATATCGGTGACACTCTCACAATCACCTGTGAGCACCCACCAACACTCAGAGCCAATCTAAAGCACTTCTGTAAAGAGGACGAGAATCTCATCTGCCAAGACATCAGAGCTGTAGGGAAATATTCTTTATCTGACCACAGCCAACCAGGACTCTTCACAGTGACCATCAGCAATCTGACCCTCAGTGATGCTGGAGTGTACTGGTGTGGAGTAGACACCAGTGAAAGAGACATTACTTACACTTCCCTGACCACAAAAGTGCAAATCAGTATTATCTGTAAGTACACAGACCTTTTCATCTAATATGTTTGAATTAATGTAGCAACACTTAATGGTTTCTTTCATCTCCCTGATTTCAGTCAGCAAAGTGATCGGACATGAAGGAGATGCTGCTGAGATCAGATGTCCTTATGATTCAAAGTATAAGCAGAATTCAAAGCATGTTTGTAAAGACGAGTGTTTTACTGAACACAGTGATTCTCTAACTGCTCAACGGTCGACTCAAAACAAGACAGAGAGATTCTCTGTACATGATGACATCACGGCTGGGGTCTTTAGTGTGAGGATGCTGGGAGATACTGGTGTGGAGTGGAAACAGGAGACGTCTTGATGAATTATCTCTCCACTGAATTGCAGGTCGTCATGAAACAAGGTGGTACATGGTTGTCTTGCTTTGGTGGGTTCAATTCTAAGTCTGAAATCTTCATGGTGGTTATATAAGGTTTTATTTTCTTTCCAGTGCTTCAGATCACTGAACGAGAAACACTCAGTGTCTCCATCAAGTGCAGCTACAGAGGAGAGTCTACAGGGAATGAGGGGAAATTCCTCTGCATGGGGCAGCAGCTGTCCAGCTGTGACAAAGGTGGAGTCAAAGTTTCATCAGAGAAAAACAGAACTGGCAGATTCTCTCTGAATGATGATGGACCTGCTGGAGTCTTCACTGTGACCATCACAGATCTGAGAGAGGAGGATTCTGGGACGTACTGGTGTGGAGAGGAGAGCTTTGGATCCACCATCTACACTCAAGTGCATCTGAATGTTTCAAAAGGTAAACAGTAAAAAGCTGCACTTTGTAGGCAACCAGCCACAAAACTGTTCAAAGATATATCAAATTAGTTTGTTTAAAAGTTTCTCTAACTCAGTACGGCATCTAAGTTAGGTAAACATTGCGGGGTTTTTTTTTATTTTATTAGAGATCCACTGACAGACTCTGACTTTTTCTCTTTGACTCCCAAACATGGAAAGCGAATAAATTTCACATATAATTTTCTTTTGTGGCTCCAAAGAGGTGTAACTGTCTAACTTCCTCTAAATGCATCAGTTGAGTTTGAGTCCTGGAAGCACCACTGATGACTGAGCAAATGTGTGCATAGTTATGTCACCTGGGAAGCCTTGAAAATACTGTGTTTAATAGACTGTAAAAAAGGCAAAAATTTTGCTTCTACCTAAAAAGTGATATAAAATTTTAGAATTTAATGAATTTGAAAGTCAGGAGAACAGGCCAGCAGCATTTTTAGTGAGCATTACATAAGATTTATGTTCAAACATTTGTCTTTGACCTTAAAGAGTGATTAAAAATGAAACCACCAGATGCAAAATGACAAAGGAAATTGGAGCAGGGGGGCAAAACTAACAGAGGAGGGTTTGTGGTTGTCTGTGTTTGAGCAAGACAGAAGTGAGAAAGAGAATGACAGAGCTCTGTTCAGACATAGACACATACAGCTGGTTTTATATGTTCCGTAAGTTATTGCTATGGTGGAACCAAAGCGACCACATAGCAGCACCCTAGCAATCACCTGGGATACCATGGCAACCACCTAGCAGTACCCAAGCAACCATCTGGGATACCATAGCAACCACTTATCAACACTTTAACTGAAATGCCATAGTAACCATTCAGCAACACCCTAGCAACCACCTGTGAACTGCTTAAGCTGCGTAATCACTCTGCATTTTCTTCAGGAAATGCACCATTTTACTTCTGGAGTACTGGAATGCAAATATTATATAAATGGATTCTGTACTGATGTTAACACTCATCACTGAAGATGACAGATTACCATTTAAAGGTTTACTGATCTAATTTGTAAATAATGCGCAATTTCACTCTCACTCATCATCTAAGCCGCTTATCCTCCTGGGCCTACCCCAGTGCACTTCACCCACACTGGGCGGTAGGCAGAAAACAACCTGGACAGGCTGCCAGTCCATCACAGGGCAGAGACACAGACATACAGATTCATGCTCACACCGAGGGGCAATTTAGCATCTCCTGACTGCATGTCTTAGGACTGTGGAAGCAGACACGGGGGGAACATGCAAATCCACACAGAAAGGACCCTGGTCGCCTGTCCGGGGAATCAAACCCAGGCCCTTCTTGCTGTGAGGTGACAGCCCTATGCGCTGTGCCCAGATAAATAGCTTTTTAAATATAACTTTATCAGGTGCCTGAAACATTTACACAGTACTGCATAACATAAAAAAATATAGAATTATGGCAAGTGATTCCAAACTTTTAAACAGTTGTGTATGTTAAGACTGTTATGCTGAGCCTTTGACTCTTTTTGTTCCTGTCTCTGTGTGTTTCCAGGTCCAGGTTCTTCTGTGATCATCACTGTGTGTATCTGTGTAGCTTTGCTGCTGACTGGATCAGCACTGATCTTCTACAGACTGAAACACAAAAAACCACAAGGTTCAGACTCTCACACACATTCATTCACATGTATGCTTTATGTGGTTTTGATATTGTTCTGCAGCAGGAAAATATTTAATTATTTTATCATTAAGGGTTGTGCATATTTAATAGGGAGTCAGTGAACCAAATAACGACAGTGATGATAATCGTGGCTGGTGGGATGTCGGGATGAAACATGATATAATAGCGTTGGAATAGAGTAAAACACAGAAGAGATCATGTTCCTATCACATAAAGTGAGCTTCATGAAACACCAGCACAGAAAGGAATGTACAGAAACATGAAGCCGCAGGCAAGGTCACCACTAACTATACACTTCACCCACACGTTGAGTACCAACCTACACTAACTAAACTTACTCCCTGACACTGAACAACACAATAAACACATACCATATCCCTTTAACTGAGGCCTAGAGGCCAGCATCATTCAGAAGCTGGTTGCTACATAGCCCCCCCTTCAAAGGTCAACCATCCAAGGCGACTTACCAGCTTGAGCCTGGGCGCACGCAGTACCAACCAGCACGAATACTGCGGGGCACTCGCTCTTCATCAAGTCCCACTCAGCTGGGGCAACAGCAGCAACAACAGCGCCCCACCCAGCAACCATTCACTCTCTCTGCTGCCCACCATACCATTAACACTAGTATGAATGCCACTCGTACGCGCTGGAGCCCCACCTTCACTGTTTGTGACTGAGCTAAGCTGGACAATGGTCACCTTCCAGCCACTTGATGTGCCTATCTCAGTGTGCGTGAGCATGAGTGGTTGTATTGGGGATATTGATGAGCCTGTGATGGCTAGTGTGATCAGCCTTCTGTCGTCCACGCTGCACATGACCCACAGCCCATGGCTGCCGCTGAACCTCCTAGCCCGCATCGGTCTATCCGCTGAGCCAGGCTTGCGCCACTGCCCAGCACAGTGTCCTCTATCTATACAACGGCAACTCCCCAACCGCTCCACTGCACGGTGCGGTGCTCCCACACTGAAGCTTTCAATGGTTTTACTTTTGGCAGCCTCCCCCTTGCTGGCGTGCTGTGCTGCCTCCGACCTTAGGACTTCCCCCGCCAACACCATCATTGGGCCTTCCTGATACAGAATAACACAAGCACATACACATTTGTTTAACTCATGAATAACATAAACCATACAAATAGTCGCTTTTCTGGAGGGCACACGCCTCCCATGATTCTCCTAGTGTGGCTACAGCCTCCTAGTGTAGGATCGCCACTGCTCACAAGTGTCTAGAGGCCAGTGCCTGCCAGTAGCAGGTCGTTACAATATTACTGCATTATTATATTCTCTGCCTTGGTGGACGGTGACTTAATCCAAAATCAGAAGACATTTTAGAGGCATGCAAAACTCATCAAACTTTGACAGAAGATTAAAAAAATGACATGATATAGCAAATGGTGCTTAAGAACGGCAAAAGATATGAACTAACAAGGTTAAAAAGGTCAATTTTCAAGTTAATTTTAACGCTGGTCCTGTAGGTCAACGCAGCTGATGGACTGATATCAGAGGACAATGATTTATATTATCGTGATTGGTCATGTGACTTTTGTCTGTATTCCACAGGCTCCTCCTCTTCAAATAGGACAGATATAACAAACAATGATGGAGTGAGTATGTCTGTTTGTGTTTTTTGTATGCAGTTTTGGGAACAAGCTTTTGCTTTGCAGATCTTGTCAATCTCATTCATTCTCAGGTTTCTCCTGCGGCCTGTGACTATGAGGAGATTAGTCACAGCAGACAGCATCCTGACTCAGACACCAGCATTTATATGAACACTTCATCACCCACCAACAGCTCTGGTAAGAACACAGGTAACATCCAAAATACAGCAAATGATCTACAGCAAGATTGGAGCAGGTTTCCCAGACATGGATTAAGCCTAGTCTTGGACTAAATTGGAATGTCAATAGCCATACACATCACCCTCACAGTGACACCCCCCACACTTACAGAACACACTAACAGCCCACATCCCCCAACACAGAATAACATAATACACACATACCACATACCTTTAACTGACAAACAACAACATAAACAACACAGATATTACCATTGTCATGGAGGGCGTGTGCCTCCCATGATCCTTCTCGCACAGCCATGAGAATGGCCAAGTCTCAAGAGCTTCTAGAGGCCAATGTCAGCCAGTAGTTGGTCGCTATAATAGTGGTTCACTATTGGAAATTCTAATCTAGGCTTAAGCTGGGTCTTGGAAACTGGTCCTTTGTGAAAAAATATTACTTTTTAGAAACATATTGAAAGCCGTTTGCATGTGTTTACAGGCTTGTTGGCCTGGAGGCTAGTGCTATATTATTTTAGTATTTATTTCTCTTGCCTTGGCCGTGGTTATTCATCTCGCCAAATTTTGTCTCTGGTCTCAAATAAGACCACCAACCTTTTCTTTAAAAATACACATATTTATTTTTATTTTCTTTTCTTAACTATCACCTATGCTCACTAATTCATAATCAAAAGAAAACTATTGAATCTGTTTGTGTTTGATTTAGCCAATTCAAATAATGAATCTCTTCTTCTGTTTTTGGCAGCTACATGTATCTATTACACAGTGCAACTACCCAAAGACGAAGGCCCTA